TGGACCTAACAAATTTAGAGAACATAAGGCTTAAAATTATTTCCTTTTCCTGTATGACCTGACCCAAAATATAAGATCTGGATCCAGAGTCTTTCAAATTACACTAGTAGTGGCCAAGAAAAGAAAATGTATAGTGATGGCAGTCCACTTATTGAAAACTATTTTAATTTCTGGCAGATTTGGAAAACATTAATGCCCTTGTCCCCAGTACCTCCAAAGATGTTGAGCTATCGCTATCGGTGTCTTTTGCACAAGGATGGCATAAGATTGAGGAAGGCTGTGTTATCATTTATTGTTAGGTGATAGAGAAAAATAATTCTAATTATTTTAAAGAGGCAAAATTTCATTTATTATTCTTATAACTTTCTTTAGACTGCTTCTCTCAACGGTGCTGCTATTTTGTGTTGGTGATTTTGTGCTTAGCCCATTTTGGTTATTTAATATAAAATATATATTTTGAATAAATATATGCAACATTTTGAAGGCTGGTTGACATTTTTCTTATATAGGCTTACAGTAATTGTGCAGGCATTCAGGCTGCCCATATCTAACTTCCAAATGGAGCAAATAAGATCGCAGGGCTTCAAAGTCGATGTCATACTGGTAATATGACATGAAGCTAATTAACCACTATAGAACATGAAGTAGAAACAAAGTTTCTGAATGCAACAAGTTACTTTATTTTAAACAAATGACTAGATAATATATCAAGCATTTACAGACAGAAATTAAATGAGACATTTGGGAGTGGGGACAATTTAAGTAAAGAGTAAAATAATAATAATAATTACTCCTGCTTGTTACCAGAAAGCAAAAACAAAAATACAATATACTGAAGGTTCAACAAGAAATCTTTATTGTTTAATAAAACAACTGTAGGAAAAACCAATACTAATATACTGGATCTTTGGTGAATGAAGATGCCTGTGAAATCTCACGAAATAGCTGATGGCCAAAACAGAGCATTTCTCGTTAGATTTCCACCATAAAGTTTGAATACACATTTGCTTTTTTTTTCAGGTACAACAACTACTCCACTCTGCCATTAGAGCAATATGTTTAAACATGGAGATTAATCCCTGTGATTAAAAATATTATGGAGCAACCCTGAGCGAATTTTTAAATATAATGAGCTTGTCTCTGAGGGTTAGTATGTACATGATACATAACGTGTCTGATGCGCTGTCTATATAAACGGAAAAACCAATTAGTTATGACAAGAATAGCAACATTCCCTCATTAAATTTTAAACTATGTAAACACATTTAAAGATACAACTCAGTTCTCCTAAATGTTAAAGATAAAATTCCCACCTATTATTTGGATGATACGCTTTACCTTGTTACCAGGTAACGATAGAGTTGACGCATTTGTATACTGTTTTATGTGTTTTATTGATTAACTGTTAATAGTTTTAACTGTGGGATATGTTTTTCCTGTTTATTGTTGGTTTTTACTAGCATTGATTTCTTCCCGGAGCTGTAAGCTGCCTTAAGTCCCCTTGGGTGAGAAAGGTGGGGTAAAACTGAAGTAAATAAATAAATAAATTTGATTTTTTTTTCAGCAATGAAAAGCCAAAAGGAATGTTTTGGGAAACGTTTTTTCTCATAAAGATGACAGGGGAGGGATAGAATCTCTCTGAGTATTTGGCTAGGATTGTAAGAGCTCTGCATATGCAAGGAAGGTCTTGATGCCTTTTTGAACCTCTTTTGGCTGCAGGCTACTATTGACATCAAAGCCTTTCCCAAAATGTTATACTTTCAAAACGTATGGAGAGCTGTGGCCAAAACTTGGGACCCTGAGACTTAAGTCATTGCATAGAACCCAGTCTTCAGTTACACCTTCAGTGGCTCTCAGCAGTGAAAACCTCACCACAAAATGATAGGGGGTTTGCAGGAAGTTTATACAGAAAATGGGGTGGGGATCCATTCGGAAGCATTTTTGTAGTATTCCTAATTGATCCTGATTATTTCAAAAATAACAACTGAAACAAAGACAGTGAACACTATTACAAGGGGATGCTAAAATCAGTTATATTTTCATAACGACTAGCTAGAATCCATTAATTCATATTCTTTGAATTTCTATCACAGACAAGCCCATATAAAGCAATCACTCAAAATATGATCTTAAAAACCATGGATTCAAATCAAGTCACATCATCACCTTCGTAGTTCAGGTTGATCATATCCATTGCAGAATCTTCATTTAAAAAATCAATACAAACAGTTGGGCCTATTAACCCCTCAAATCCATATTTTCAAAGTGCAACTGCTAAAGTACCATATTTTTAATGCCCTCTCTCCCACTGAAATTCAAATAATATAAGTGTAACATCATAGAAAACAAAATTGGTCATCTGGGTGCAAGATAAAATCTTCAAAATGAAGATTTTAAATATATTTGGACAGAATACATGAGAAAAGGATGCAAATATTTATGTGTGTACAAGCCCCCCTCCCACCCAATTCTATACATCTTGCTTCCAGTATTGGTTCAGCTACATTACATAGAGTTACTATAAAAACACTCACTAAACATTATACAACAGTACAGTATCAACTATTTCTCTAGAATTAAAATTGGGTCATCGCACAAAATTGGGGAGCATTGCACTTAAAATGCCTTTCAGAGTAAAACTGAAGATCCACCGATAAACTTTCATAGCAATGATCTTCTTGGTTCTAATAGCCTAGAGTTGCCATTTTACGTCATCAAGTGTACAGAAAGTAAAAGTGGGAAATGGGGAGGTGATCAGATAAATATACTTTCAGTTGTCATTAGACCAGTGATCCTCAACCTGTGGGTTCCCAGGTGTTTTGGCCTACAACTCCCAGAAATCTCGTTCAGTTTACAGCTGCTAGGATTTGTGGGAGTTGAAGGCCAAAACATCTGGGGACCCACAGGTTGAGAACCACTGCATTAGACCCACTGAAAACAGTTTCATAATGATGAAAACAAACTTCAAGCTTATTTAACAATTGTGCAGTGCCAGGTCAAATACTATTAAGTGCTTGGCTGAAAAGTTAAAATTTTTACTCTACTTAGACTGATATTAATTACCTAGAATGAACAGTTTGAAACTAAATGAGCAAACTAATTTGGAGGAAGGCACCATTAAAGGTGGCAGGATTCGTCACCAAGTGATAAAACAGTTGATGTCAAAATATAAATATATTGGTAACAGAATATATTGGTAACAGAATCTACTTAATATTGGTGAAGAGCTTCAGTGGGCAGTTCTTCCCCCTTCCCAGCTAGTTCATTTTGCACTGATCTCAGAAATTACAAAAACCTAAGTAGTAGATGAGGTGAAGACAAAAAAAATTGTTTCAGGGGTCTACATGTTCCATTATTATTATTATTATTATTTAAATGAAAATATATTCCTATTATTATTTTGCAATCAGAGATTGCTATAGGTAGATTGGGGGACCGGATTATGTTTATGCTTTTCATTTTTGAGGGAAAAAATTATTTTTATTTAAAAAACAAATGTGGACAATGGCAACAACAAATCTTACACAGTATGTTAGGTATATATATGTGTGCGTATATATGTATCTGTACACATGTCATGATAGACTCATTTGGAAACAGGCTCAAGAAGAGTAAATGATCACTTAGGATAATACAGCAGACTCAACAAATAATACAGCAGACTCTAAATTGAGCCTATTTCTGTAGTTATTAAAATTGTAAGGAGTCAACAAGTTGTCCGTTTACTTGTAAGAGCATCAGCCAGTACAGTCTATGTAAAATGAATTCTATAGTGTAACATTTATTTCAACCAGTACATTTTCTTTAACCAGAGGCTACAGGGCAAATATTATAGAGGAATGACAAAGGAACAATTTATGGATATAATACAAAGAAGGATTACAAGACTGCTCCTACGTTTTGATCTATTAAAGGGATTTCCAGAGTTTCTCAAGAATACCTTTTGTAATGGCACAGTTTTAGGTACCTATGTTTTTATATACAGACTATTTATATATATATCTATATAAATAACTTTGCAACCAAAATAATTGCTTCCAGAATATTACTAAGGTGTTGCAGTGTGAGTTCTGATGCTAAGGTATCACAGAGATTTCCATGCAGTCAAAGCAAACTGAAGGATCGACTATCTTTTCCTCTGCTGTATATAAGGATTCACAAAACCATTCTCCGAACTCCACATTCACAGCAGAATTTTGCAGCTTCAACTGGATATTTGGCGCCACATTCATAGCAGAATTTTGGTAACTGTGTAGCAGGTGAATTTCCCTCACTGCTTTTGGAACTTCCTCCATTGACAGATGAGCCATCCCCGCTGTCACATCCAGTCATTCAGCAAGCATTAAAAAATTCAAAATGAAAAACATTACAATGGTCAGATAAATAAATAATAGTGTATACATGAAATATAATACCTTTTCAAATTTAAAATCGGAACCATTTTTACAAAATTACAGACAAGTTACTACACAATCATAATGACAATTAATTGATCGATTAAAGCATTGGTGTGTTGTCGAAGGCTTTCATTGCCACAATCACTTGATTGCTGTGAATTTTCCGGGCTGTATGGCCATGTTCCAGAAGCATTCTCTTCTGACATTTCACCCACATCTATGGCAGGCATCCTAAGAGGTCTACTGTATACCATGCAGCTGTGGATGAGTCTACATAGGGACCACCAAACACAGCATTGCCTAAACATGAATCAAGGAATATCAAAGGCACTGCAGACTACTTCAACCTGAGAAGTCAGCCATGGCAGAGCACCTGATGACCCAAACTGGACACAACATATTATTTGAGAACACAGAAATGCTGGACCACTCTAACAACCACCATGTCACACTAAACAGAGAAGCCATTGAAATCTATAAGCATGTGGACAATCTCAACAGAAAGGAGAAAAACATGAAAATGAACTAAATCTGGCTACCAGTAATAAAAAAAAACCCTCTAAAATAAGGACAGTAAATAAAGAACAACACTCAGAAAACAGGGGAATTCCATACAGGAAACAATCAGGGTCAACTAACAACTCCCAACAAAGTATCCTCCCAGACAAGAAGCAGACAGGTTTTGAAGCTGCAAGGCCATTCAAGGCGGCCAATTGCAACATTCATACTTGCCTCAAACATACAAGAGCTTTTTCTCCCACCCTGGACAGTCTACAGATATATAAACTCCACTTGCCTAGTTTCCCTCAGACCTCACAACCTCTGAGGATGCCTGCCACAGATGTGGGTGAAACATCAGGAGAGAATGCTTCTGGAACATAGCCATACAGCCCGGAAAATTCACAGCAACCAAGTGATAGTGGCCATGAAAGTCTTTGACAACACAATTCACTAATTCTTTAATCAATCAATCAATTGTCATTAGGATTGTGTAGTAACTTACAACAACCCAGTGATTCCGGTCATGAAAGCCTTCGACAACACCTATTAGTGTATTGTAAAACTTCAGTCTGGTGGAATAAAAGGGACAACAACAAATTTGTATCTGTTTTCCCAAAAAGGGTGAAGTCCAATTAGTAGGCACCACCACCAAGTAAGATTAAATGAAAGGAGACATAAAATTGTTAATTTGCAGCCACAGCAGGCTGCTCTGAAGATTAATGAAGCATTATTAAAAGACTATATTCAAAATCTTTTTTGTGTGCATTTTTCCTTGATATACATCCTTTGATCTAAAACTGGTATTAATTTTTTGATGGTGACAGAGAGAGAAAAGAGTGGATTCTATTTTCTGCTTTTTCCCAGAGCTAAAACGGCAGAAGACAGCAGAAAAAGAAAAGTTTAAAAGCCTTTTCCTATGCAAAACAAACACAATCATCACTAAAATGAAGGCACTTTTATAGTATTTATTATTGTTCATTTTTTTTCCAATTTTCAATATTGTTCATTTTTTTCGATTTCAAGCATCCTCTGTGGATGCTTGCCATAGATGCAGGCGAAACGTCATGAGAGAATGCCTCTAGAACATGGCCGTATAGCCCCAAAAAAACCTACAACAACCCAGTGATTCCAGCTGTGAAAGCCTTCAACAATATATTATTCACTCCTTTTAGATTCCCACAGTAAGATGAGCTTTCCACATCCATGACTTGTTTTCTACTGGTTCGTCCTCCAACACAAAGCCACAATGCTAAACGATACATTTTTTTCTGCAATATTTCCAGGCAATCCCTCCAACATTTTAGAATTCCGAATTTATGAGCCATCTTATTACTGCCTCCTAAAACAGCTATTTACCTTTACAACACTATGGAAATTACCTGTTTAAGTAGCTTTCAGAGCTGTATGCTTTCCTTTTGTTTGCCATCATGCTCATGCCAGCATTTCTAGCCATATTACTAGGTGCTACGGTCTTTGATTTCAAGGACCCCCTGAAAGGTAATATGAATTCAAGGAATTAAGACAAAAATCTTAAATAACATGTCATTTCATCACAACTCTCTCTATAGTGAGGAGAGTTTCCAACAGTGTAGAGAACTAGGATCTAGCAGAGAATGGGATTACATAGGGGATTAGACTGGGTCGTCATTTTATGTTGCTCTCTAATAAATTGGTCTCAGCTTTTTTAAAAACAGCAAATCATGTCTACATGTTAACACTAGTCATCAGCAGTAGAGAATCTGATAGCATCTAGTCAAATGGGCAAAGAAGCAGTTGTTGACAACATAATGGTTTCTTAAGGCAAAGTGCTGAATAGACATCCTTTCTAGAAAATGATTCATCATGTTGTTTATCTGCTACTATTGTCCTTTAAGACATGATCTGAGCATATCAAACAGAAAACTATTCAGGGCAAGCCAAAAAAAAAAAAAAGGTTGGCTCTCTCCTTCTTCACTTCAGTTCCTTAACAAACTGTGGGGGCAAAGAACTATAACATGTGGGTGTCACTTAGGCTGGCATTACTGTGAATCCCAGAATGGAATTATTTTTTGGACTAGAATGACTAAGGAGTTAACTTTTCTTCCCTGTCTGTAACATACCTAGTGATAATATGGGTAATAAGCAGACTCCTTTGAATGGAGAAAAAGTGAATGAACTGCCTCAGAGACTACTAAAATATAGAACATATTAATCCTGATCTACATAGGCAGTGCTCCATTGAGATAAAATTATAGGGCCCTGTCATAGAATCATAGAGTTGGAACAGAAAACATGGGCCACCTAGTCCAATCCTCCTGTCATGCAGAAAAAGCACAGTCAAAGTACCACTGACAGATAGCCATCTAACCTCTGTTTAAAAGCCTCCAAAGAAGGAGCCTTCGCTTCACTTCGAAGCAGATAGTTCCACTGCTCTTACCGTCAGGAAGTTGTTCCAAATGTTCAAGTGGAATTTCTTTTCCTATAATTTGGACCCATTGCTTCAAGTCTGGGTCTCCAGTGCAGCAGAAAACTAGCCTGTTTCTTATGACATCCTTTCACATATTTATACATGGCTATGTCTACTCTCAATCTTCTCTTCTGCAGGTTAAACATGCCCAGCTCTTTAAGAGGCTCCTCATAAGGCATGGTTTCCATCCCTTTGATCATTTTAGTTGCCCTCTTCTGGACACCTTCCAGCTTGTCAATATCTCTTTTGAACTGTGGTGCCCAGAACTGAACACAGTATTCCTGGTGAGATCTAACCAAAGCCGAATAGAGAGGCACCATGACTTCCTTCGTTGTAGATACTATACTCCTTTTGATGCAGCCCAAAATCCCATTGGCTTTTTAAGATGCTGTATTACACTGTTGGGTCATGTTCAACTTGTTGTCCATGAAGACTCCAATATCTTTTTCACATGTACAGTTGCCAAGCCAAGTGTCACCCATTCTGCATCTTTGCATTTCGTTTTTTTCTGCCTAAGTGTAGTATCTTACATTTCTCCTTGTTGACATTCATTTTGTTAGTTCTGGCCCAGCTCTCTAATTATTATTGTTCTGTTATTCTGATCATGTGCTCTGGAGTATTAGCTAACCCTCCTAATTTGGTGTCATTTGCAAACTTGATAAGCATACCCTCTAAACCTTCATCTAAGTCATTAATGACAATACTGAACAGTACTGGGCCCAGGACCGAACCCTGCAGCACTCTACTAGCCACTTTTGTTCCCAGGATGAAGAGGAACCATTGGTGAGCACTCTTTGAGTTCAGTCTCTTAACCAATTACAGATCCACCTAACAGACAGCATTCCCTTCTAAGTGATGGCAGACTGCCTCCTTAATGATCCGCTCCAGAATCTTTTATGGTATTGATGTCAGGCTGACTGGACAGTAATTGCCTGGGTCCTCTTTTTTCCCTTCTTGAAGATAGGAACATTTGTCCTCCTTTGGTCTGCCGGGACTTCTCCTATTCTCAAGAATTCTCAAGATTATTGCCAGTTGTTTTGAAATTACTTCTGCTAGTTCCTTCAGAACTTTTGGATGTAGTTCATCTGGCCCTGGAGACAGTATTGTTCTTGCATATAAAGGGTCTGGTGTGTGTATGTTTATGTAGCTGTTAGATTTGTCTTTTTCAGAAATCTTAAATGGAGGTTGGATGGCCATCTCATATAAATGCTTTAGCTATGTATTCCTGAATAGACTAAACTACCTATGCTATGGATACATACTGCCATCTAGAGGACGAGAACAAAATATGAAATTTTAGTACATTGGTAGATTCCAAGAGTAGCCATATAGACATGCAACAAAGTAAAAGAAAATTCAAAATTCATAAAAGAGAGATAACTAATTGGGCCAAATATTTTATATTTTGTGCATTTCAGTTGGCCCAATAGCAGTATCAATGTTTTGTAGATTATGAATTTTGCAGTATATTTCATGACATGTAGTGGTTCAGAACAGTTATTCCGACTTCAAAAGAGGAATCCTGAGATGTGAGGGCATTTGTAAAAGGTGTTTGAAAGACAAAAGGCTGAAAATTCTTTAGAAGACCAGGAGCTACAAGAAGAGAAGCTAATGCTAGAGACCAGGAAATGTACCATTAAGACCAAGGGGATAACACTATGATTATCAGTGTTTACATGGCAGCTTCCATATCAATAAGGTGCTCCGGCTTTTAGCCCTAAATTTCAAGGAGTTATCCAAGGCACTGAACCCTATCTCCAAAACAGGTTCAGAAATCTGGCTATCCTTTCCACTTCAGATTAAATCTTGGAGTAGTTTCACTGTCCCAATGGAATGGATGCCACCAACTGAATGAAAGCAACTTCTAACACAGGAATGAGCTAAAGCAAACAGCAGCAAACGTGTAAGGTAATAAAAAAAGCAACACCATGCCTATAATTCAACCAATAAGCAGATTTATTCACTCATTTACTGTGTATTTTGGTTGATTAACTTGGAAGCCCTACTTACAATCTTAAAAACTCCATCCTTATTATTCCCTCAGCTTTTCATCCACTCTGATGTGACAATTTCACAACCCTCAGCAAAACTACACTGATGGAAAAGGAACCTCTTGAAGCAAATTCTTTCCTCTTCCACCCCCATCTCATGTTATATAGATGACGGGGATGTGTTGTGGCTTGCAAAACTTGATGCAAAACTAGCTATCGTATCTTCTGGAGGTTGAGCTTCCATTCATAGAAGCTGCCTTCATTGAGCCCTGGAATGTCTTCTTACCCATCACTGTCCCACAATGAAGTCAACCTCTTTCAGGAGGGTGATCCAACCTCTATGTCGGAGCTTTTAAAATATTTCATGTTGGTGACACGCTTTTTAGAAATGCATCATTTCACGATGCATTTCTACTAGCAAATTGGGGCTTAAGCCAACTCCTTATGAGATGCAGACATGTTGTTGTTCATTCGTTCAGTCGTCTCCGACTCTTCGTGACCTCATGGACCAGCCCACGCCAGAGCTCCCTGTCGGCCGTTACCACCCCCAGCTCCCTCAAGGTCAGTCCAGTCACTTCACGGATGCCATCCATCCATCTTGCCCTTGGTCGGCCCCTCTTCCTTTTGCCTTCCACTTTCCCCAGCATAATTGTCTTCTCTAGGCTTTCCTGTCTCCTCATGATGTGGCCAAAGTACTTCAACTTTGTCTCTAGTATCCTTCCCTCAGTGAGCAGTCGGGCTTTATTTCCTGGAGGATGGACTGGTTGGATCTTCTCGCAGTCCAAGGCACTCTCAGAACTTTCCTCCAACACCACAGCTCAAAAGCATCTCAAAACATCTCACAGCCTTCCCTAAGGTGCAGCTCTCACATCCGTAGGTTACTACAGGGAATACCATGGCTTTGACTAGGCGGATCTTTGTTGCCAGTCTGATGTCTCTACTCTTCACTATTTTATCGAGATTGGACATTGCTCTCCTCCCAAGAAGTAAGCGTCTTCTGATTTCCTGGCTACAGTCTGCATTAGAATTTATGTATAGTATATGTCTGCATCAGCCGAAAGCCGATGCAGACATATACTATACATAAATTCTAATAACTGAGTATATGGGGACACAACTTACCTCATGAAAACCTCTCATTCATATTTTAAAGATATAATTTATAAGAAAATTATCTTTGTCATTTCTCATTGCATTCATACAACACACCTACGCAGTGCGCGGCACACAGTTTGGAAACTCTATTGTATGCAATGTTTTAGGAGATATAGGCATTCTTGGGGAAAGAAGCCAAGAAAGAGTTTTTAGCAACATGACACTGAAGTCATCCTGAGAAATCTTGACTTAGCATACTCACCCTGCTTGTGGGCTTGTCCTTGCCAAACTTTTATGAGCTGGAGAGGAAGTCTGGATTTTGGTTCCCATAGGTCCACTTTGTGGCATAATTTTATTTGCAGGTGAACCTGTCAAAATAAACATAACAGAACTTAATTTCTAAATTTAGTAGCTTTGTCTTTTTAGGGAAAAAATCCATTCTTCTATGAATAAACACATGTAAATACAGAGAACACATAGGGTGAAGTAGGAGTGCAAGGGGAGGGGGCTTTAACAGTCCACCCCCTCCTTATATTTTCCAGATTAAATTTGCAATGCACAAAGTTGCTATGAGGTCTGTTGGAAATAACACAAAGTAGGCACTTTGCCCCACTTTAGCAAACAATAGAATGACTGCTTAGAGAGAGGGTCCTTGGAAGCATAATTTACTTGTTACTTCAAAACACTGAGCAAAGTCATTCTGAGGGACATAGTACAAGAAACTCATTGTTTAGAAAAAATTAACACTATTTTTGTTTTTATAGTAATACTCCCAAATTCCGTTCCTGATCCAGGGGCAACAGATACTTGTCTTAGAAAACAGGTCCATGCAAATGTGCAGCTCTTGATAAGATCAATGATGGAGAAGGAACCAGGAGATTTATTGTAGTTTACAACCTGAAGAAATTCAGAGCCAAGGACCCATTCACTTTCTATGCATTGAAACCTGAGCCACTGGTCCACTTAGCTCAGTGGTGTCAATGTTTACAATCAAACAGCTCTTTTGAATTTTAGATATAAAGCTCTTCAACTTCAATTGGAATTTAGGAGTGCCTGGGTGTAAAACATGCTTTATGGAAGATCTGCAAGTTAAAAACATTTATTTGCTATTGTTCTACTCTGCAAGATTTCAAAAGTGACACTACACTAGAATTAATGCAGTTTGACACTACTTCAACTGCCATGACTCAATGCTATGGAATCATGGAGGATATACTCCCATAAGATCTTTAGTTCTCTCTGCCAAATAGTGCTGGTGCTTCACCAAACTACAACTTCCACGATTTTACAGCACTGAGCCATAGCAACTAAAGTAGTGTCAAACTGTATTAATTCTACCCTTAGATACAGAAATGTCCCCAAAGCCTGACAAAGAAGTCAATGTGCATTTTGAGTAGAATGTCCTATTACGAAATGTAATATTAATTCAGGCATCCCCATTCCCCAAATCTGTAACATTTTAAAAACTATTACTTGGTTGTGGTAAACGTGAAGAAGCTGGTGGTATTGATCCTGTCGAAGGCATTTTCTTTACAGGTGGCTTGATCTGAAACAGAAATGAAATAACTGACATTAAGTCTAGTTGTGTCTGACTCTGGGGTGCTCATCTCCATTTCTAAGCTAAATAGCCGGTGTTGTCCGTAGACGCCTCCAAGGTCATGTGGCTGGCAGGACGACATGGAGTGCTTTTACCTTCCCGCAGAAGTGGTACCTACTGATCTACTCACATCTGCATGTTTTTCGAACTGCGAAATTGGCGCAAGCTGGGGCTAACAGTGGGAGCTCACCCTGTTTGCTGGATTCAAACCGCCAACCTTTTGGTCAGCAAGTTCAGCAGCTCACTCATTTAACCCGCTGTGCCATCGGGGGCTACTTAATAGCTTAGGCAATGATATTACAGTGTTCTGTACTTTCAACTGCTTTTCTTGAAATATTCCACTGCGTTTTTTGTCATAGAATATACCTTCAAAAATATATAAGAACATCATCCCGCTTCTGCCTTCTCATGTAAAAAAAAAGTTGATACTTCTGAGAGCATACATGCTAGGTGTTTATTTAAAATACATTTAGTGTTTCTACTGTGTCTTCACCAATGAAATTATATATACTTGTTTCCACAGCTAAAGAACTGCATTCCTCTTTACATAATATATGTTATCAGCATTTTTAATAGAACTTGGATAGAAAACCGAGCAGATCATTATGTCCATGTACACATAGTTTACTGCTGTCTATAGCATGACTGTGACTCAAGTGTCTTTCTCAGTCCGCAGTAGGAGATCTGGTTGAAAAACATGTACTCTACTATGGAGATACACATCATCCCCAATGAACTACAATCTGCACTGGATGTGAATCTGAAAGACCTGGAGTAATAGCCTTTTTTAGTCAGAAATATCCTGATATCATTCTCTGAACGTCAGTTTCCCAGAGAATGGAAAAGACATGGACACACTTCATTGGGTATCCATAGGTTTAAAAAAAGGAGTATAAAGTTTACAAATCTGGTCATATGAAACTACTGAATTCATTATCACCTAAATACCACTAACCTTAGAAGTCTATGAAAAGATATCAGAAATATCAATGGAAATGATGATCAGTGATTACCAGGGAACAAAAAACAACAAATCTCACAATACAATTTGCTGCAGAATGAGAGAATAACAGATCTATTGCCTGCATGTTTTGCTTATTGACTTCCCATAGACATCATGTTGGCCCTTTCATAAACATGAGATGTTTTGCCCTGATGTAAAGGGGCTGTTCTTATGTTCTCCAACTGTTTAACACCCTTGTGGCCTGGATTTTGTTATGATTGTAGACTCTGAAGTACTTTTCACATTAAAGGGGATATTAAAAAATTAAAAACAAAAACTTTGGAGCAGAAAGCAATTTTCACCAAATTCTTTCCACATAAAAGGCCTTTCAGGGAAAAGATTTCAAATCAATTTAATTATCACCCATAGACTTATTGGGGTTATTATTTTCAAAGGTGGAATGAAAACAAAACATGCACAAAATTTCCAGTCCCTCAAGTTCTCTGAAACCGTTCAAACAGCAATTTGCATGCAGTCTGCATATTGGTGCTGGTCTGGCTCCTTACAGGTTTGGTTAATTTTGGTTTTTTCCCCCTTAAATGTCTAAAAAGTATACAATTCTACAGCTGTAAAGCTTGTTTTAACTTTAGGAAAGATTTTGATAGAGGATAGAAAACTTAACAAACCCTTTTACCCATTTTACCTGTGTTCGAGTAGGAAGCTTCCCTTTAACTTCAGTAATTGGTTTTCCTTTATTAGTAATACGGGCTGCCTGCTCTTTACAAAAATTGATGTGTCGATCAGCTGCACTTTCATTAAATCTTCTCTGGCAGTATGGACACTGGATGTAATCTGTATTCAATAGTGTCCATGAGACAAGAATAATAAATTCAGGTTTACTGATTAATCTACTCACCCATTTTTACTCATAGATCTGGCAGCAAAATATACACATAACTACCCACTATAGCTAACTATAAATGTTTAAAACAGCAGCATAATGTACTCGTATGTTTGAAGTCAGTACTATAATATTATAATCAATTAAGAGCCAGCAACACTGGCACTTCCCAATATATTTACAAATGAATGTTTTTTCATCATGCACCTAAATGTCAGCAGCAAATGGAAACTTGGAAACCTTGTAAATAAGAGCAGTCTCCATGGAGAAAATCCTCCTCAACAATTCCAAGGCAGTAAAGGAAATTATTCAGAAGGTGATGGAAGCACAGAAAATAAAAGCTGTCTAAGATTGTGCTCTTAGATCTGAGACTAAGAGACCTTAGTCTCAGATCTTTCAGAGTCTTAAAAGTAAGAAATAGCACCTTAAATTTCTGTAAACCATATTAATTACAGTACGGCCCCTGTATCTACTAGAGATATGTTTCCAGATGTCACATGAACCACAAAAAATAGTGAACACTGCTGAAATTGTGGCATTCTGGCACAAGACTATCATAGAGTTGCACCGGAGAACATAAACACATTTTGTCAGATGTGGATAAATAAAACTGGATGTAACAGTATTGCAAATATAAGGGTCATACTATATTTTAAAATTAGGTAAACATAATTACAGTGAGCAGTTCCCATCAAAATCTGGATGTCATTTTTTGAAATACAAGTTATAGCTTTCAAATAGCAATCAATATTTCTGTATTTATTTAATATCCCGCCTTTCCCACACACTATGGGACCCAAACCAGCTCACAACCACATAAAACCATTTAAAACTACAAACCAGATGATAAAAAGTTTTGAAAATAAAATGCAATTAATTTAAAATACAAAACAAAACAACTCAATTGCATAAAAACTCTTCTCCATATCAATTGTAAGATCAATCCTTAGAAGCAGGTCCAACTATAGTCCAGTCATATATTGTTGGTGCCTGTGCAGCAGTTCTGGAATTTTACATAGATAATGAGGCTTGGCTATGTAAAATTCTTATCTATGTAAAATTCTGGAACCATAGGACCATAGGTGTGCATTCCATAGAATCCACGAAAAAGAACACAAAAACTCTAACTTGGTCAACAGTGAACTGAACATGGTCATAAGCTGGCTTTTTCGAAATCCATGATCCAGAACTACAAGTTACAAAAGCTGCAGCTCACTGAAACAAACACAACCAGTATAGGCAAGGGATATCTCCAGCAGTCCATGTGAAACTGATTGACTTTATTTTCAAAGTGTGAAGTCACTAAATCATACGGAAACTGTCGCAGATTAGTCATGTTCATACTAAGGGAACAACTGAAGAGAAAACTATCTAGAAAATTTCTGTTGAACAACACTGTCAAAATGCAATTGTAATGTGAAAAACACATGTTTGCATATCTGGGAGGAGTGGGACTGCAAGAAATGTGCATTCATGTGAGTTCAGGAACTAGGTTTTTTAGTGTTGCTGCCAGTCTTCTCCCACTGTCATTATGCCTACTGTCTTGGTGTTCATATTAAAGGAAGAAATCACTCAGAGATGAGGAACATCACTGAGTGATATCATTCTCTATTCTGATTAAGGCTGATGGAAATTTCACCTTAACATCATCTGGTGGGCCAAACATTCCTAGCCCTGCATGAAAAAATATAAAATAAGAAGATCCAGATTTTGTTGGACTGGAGGCTTCTTTCTATAATATACTAGCTGTCCCCTGCCACGCGTTGCTGTGGCCCAGTCTGGTGATCTGGAAATGAAGTAATGAGAATGTGTTGGTTTCTAATATATGTAATGTCTTTATGCTTGAGGCTAAACAGTATTTCTTGTTGTTTCTTTGGCAGTGTTGATGTGGAGATTGTCTGGTTTGCCTACTCTGGAACATGTAACATATCATTGTCCTTCTTTAGGGGTCCCTTTGAAATCTTTGATACTGCATCTGTCATATACATATATGTGTGTGTGTGAATGGCTGGATGGCCCTTTGTCAGGAGGGCTTTGTTTTGTTGCCCTGGTGAAGGGAGCTGGACTGGATGGCCTTAAGGCAGCATTTCTCAACCTGGGAAGTCAATACACCAAGGGGGGGGGTCACCAGGGGGGTGTCAGAAGGGTCACCAAAGACCACCAGGAAACACAGTATTTCTGTTGGTCATGGGGGTTCTGTGTGGGAAGTTTGCCCCAATTCTGTCATTGGTGGGGTTCAGAATGCTCCTTGATTGTAGGTGAACTATAAATCCTAGTAACTACAACTCCCAAATGTCAAGGTCTATTTCCCCCAAACTCCATCTGTGTTTATATTTGGGCATATTGAAAATTCATGCCAAATTTGGTCCAGATCCATCATTGGAGTCCACAGTGCTCTCTGGATATAGGTGAACTACAACTCCCAAACTCAAGGTCAATGCCCTCCAAACCTTTCCAGCATTTTCTGTTGGTCATGGGAGTTCTGTGTGCCAAGTTTGGTTCAATTCCATCGTTGGTGGAGTTCAGAATGCTCTTTGATTGTAGGTGAGCTATAAATCCCAGCAACTCCAACTCCCAAATGACAAAATCATAATTTTTTGATTGATGGTCACTTCTTGGTAAGTGAGACATTTTGTTGCCAAATTTGGTGTGATTTCGCTCATTGGTTCTTTTGTTTTTAAGGTACTCATTATGCACAGAGCGCATAGTTAGATAGATAGATAGATAGATTGATTGATTTGCATGGTATGAACATGTTTCTACAATCTCTAGTCTTGCAGGATCCACAGAGAGTTTTTATCTATGTGTTGTGTACCAGGGGTCTCGGAACGGTTGCGGGACTTGTCTCTCTCCAGTATTACAGTTTTAGAAACAGTAAAGACTCAGTCAAAGGTCTGAGAGGAGAAACAACAAAAGCACATGGGGATCATAGCCAGAACTCTGTGAAGACCCTGTTTAAAAAACATTAAGGTTCAGGGCATAAACAAGATACCTAGAGTGAATTGGTTTAGCTAGCACTGTCTAAAATATTTCTAGTATTCATTTTTACTTGTGGGGTTCCCTAACAAATGCAGAAATAGCTTTCAGGTGTATATGGAGATATGTTTCCTAAACACACATGATAGCACATGCCTATTCATATGACTTAGATCAACTTCTTAATCTATTCATAATCAGATCAAACATCTGAGCTTTTGACACAAACAAAATATTCAGAAGCAGATGTTGCAATTCAAAGACATCTTCAGGCTTTAACACTGTGCGTACCAGGATCATATGATGGTGGTGGCGGTGGTGGAAGTTTTCCACCTTCTTTAAGAACCCGATCAACTCCCTTGGCTGATCTTATAGCAGCTATGAGTTCTTCATGCTTTCTTCTCCAGTTGGATGGCTTCTTTGGGGGATCTGGCTAAAAAGACAATAGAAGAAGCACACATTTCTTTGCAATTTTATAAAATTAATTATACATAAATGCTTCAGTTCTGCATGCAATATTAAAGATAAACCCATTAAGTACAATTCACTCCTCTTTCATGAAATCATATTGCTTCTTGAAAGTAGCAGGAATGCGACAGAATATTTAACTCACTGTTAAGTTTGTGAGTGGTTATGAAATAAATACAGAAGAAATACATTTAATATTTTTATAAGACATTCATGAAACATGCATTTGATTCTAAATAAGAAGTGGGCATTAGACTGGGAATCAACAATGTATCTTGCTTTTATTCATAGTTCATAGCTAGTTATTGTTACTTTAGACCAGAGGTTCTTAAAGTGAGCTTTGGGAAGCATCCTGAGGGACTCTGCACTTTCTTCCTTCTTCCCCCTCAAGTGTGTGCGGGTGGGGGGTCTCCCCTCCTCCCTCCTTTTTGCTCCTCCTCTCTCTCTAAGCATGCAGGAGGAAATGAATGTGGGCCCAGAAAGGACATCGTTGAGGGAGGGAGACCCTCCTGATGTGGAAGGCAAGGCCTCTCTCAGTCTCAGTGGCCAGGCCTCGTTCCCGCTCCGGCAAGCAGACACAATAGTATTGTCTTCCTGGGACACAGACCTTTTCTCCTATGACCCCATGTTGCCCAGACCCCTGCCCCATGCCCTCTTGCCATGCAGATCCTTTCTCCTGTACCTTCCTTGCTTCCAGAACCCTATTTCCCTTCCACTGCTCAGGGCTCTACATGGCTAGAGCACAAGTAATGCAAGAAAGCTCCGAAAACTACTGCTGAATGCATGTTAAGGTATATAGTTATGCCTATAATGCGGTGGTGAAGCTCTTCAGAACACTCAAGCATTAACAACACTTATCTAATAAATCCCCGAGAAGCCTACCATGACATTTTTGCCAAGTACTTGATATTGTAGCAGTCCAACCAATACGTACAATGCTTTGTATAGGATAAACCAGCTCATGTATCATGAGGAAACAGACAAAGCACTTACAGTATCAATCTGACCATGTCTTAATCCCTTCATAAGTGATTAATCTATCTAAAAGAATATGGCCAGATATGTCCAAAGCCTGCTATACCTGGGCAAGATATGGCAAAGGTAAAGCCACTCATAAGATTTTCCCCTAGACATGTCTTCTTTTTCAGAGCCAAAACTTTCATCTGGGGAGCTTTCTTAAATGTCAATTTTTAGAAGAGGTTTGTGTAAATCTAATTATTGTAAATCTATGGGACAAAATGCAGAATACCATCATGAGGGATGCTTTTCTTTTTTGCCCCCCTTGAGTTCCCCCTGCCACTCTTCTGCCTGACACAGTTGTTGTATACACCTGCTGTGCTAGAGTAGTGGATGAGAAGGCACAAGAGATCAATTGTTGATATGATTAAACACTATTAAATAATGAACTAGAAAATTTGGTACATAACTTTCTAAGAAATCTAGCCTGCATCAAGGAATATATCAGCTACAAAGATTCTGGTTCGGAGAACTCAGCTGCCTTCCAAAAAATCCCCACTCCCAGCCACTGAATCTAGATTCAATGTCAAACTCTACAGCCACCAATTAGCCATAGCAGCATACAGCCCAACTCTAGCCTTTCAGCAATACAAGCGTTTGGTATTAATTTATGAACTGACTTCAGAAATATATGATAGCGCTCACATTGGCTGTAATCTTAAGGAGGGCAACTGTATGGAAGCAAAGTTTACTGAACCACATGGAATATGCCTCCGAATAATAATTTTTAGATTTTACATGAATGATTCCTAACTTCATAATTAACCTCCAATGTGAATCATTCCAGATATTTTATATCTAACAAGAATCTTCCTGAAAATGTTGATTTAATTTGCAGGCAAATAAAAAAAGTTTGCAAGACATGTTCTTTAAAGCAACTACTCCTGCTGGGTTAATTATTACCCATGACTGCTATGAACAAATTCCTAAAGTCATAGCATACTTGCAACCAGTAATTAAGTTACATACCCCCTGACACAGATCTGTCAAAAACTGTAATATTATAATACTCATGTACGTACCCGTGGCTTCAGAGGTTTTACTACAGAAATATCAGTTCCTTCAGCTCTCTGCCTGCTGGAGTCAAATGCTTTTCTTTTTCTAGTGGCTGCTTTTTGGCAAATGGGAGCATGTTTCCTCTGGGAAAAAAGGACAGGGTGGAGGGAAGGAAAGACGGAGAAAGGTTAACATATATTTTTGGCAATATTACTTATTTTCTATCACTATCATGAAAAAGAAGCAGGGCCAGGAAATCCTAAGAGTATCATATAGAAATAAAACTATAGGACAGGCTGCTGTTCTGGAAACAAAAATAGGCATTTTTGTTCTAGCATAACAATCTCATCTAAATAATGCATCTAAATAATGATGTAATTACCTTGTAAGCTAGCTGCTTTCACTGCATGAGTAATTAACTTTAACCTAACCAAGTAATAATTCATTCCTGAACAATTCTGAGCAAGAGCATACATGATGGAACAGCTGACATTGGAAAATTTGATTATTTGGTCACAGTAGTATACAAAACTTCACTTTGAAAAGCATAATTATATCTCAGCCTTATTTTTAAATCATTTGATTTTGTACTTACTAATGCGTTTGTAAAAAATGTCCTTCCACAAATTTTGCATGGCAACAAATCTTCAGATTGTTCCACACTTTCGTAATCTTAAAAGAAACACACACATATAGGTTATGACAATACAGTTTTTATTTCTCATTTCCTAGTCCACATGACAGTTATGTGTTCATTTTCAGCATATTGAAAAATTGGATAATGAAATAAAAATGTAATAATTACTCATGTAGTCTCATAAATTTTATTTGTAACGACACCAGATTAGGACTTCTTGTTAATCATAGGCAGTTAGAATTAAAAAGAAGGGAATACTGAAGTACCTAAGATTGGAGGAAACTTTGGGCTACGATGAAGAAATTGAGCACAACAACTGCCCAAACTTTGTGAGGTCAATAGTTTGTTCCCAGCAAACACATTATTCAAGCAACCAAAGAACTGATTGTATAGACAGCCATCACCTACTGGCCAATCTATCTATCTATATCTATCTATCTATATAATAAAAGTCAGTGTTTGTATGTGGGTATGTGTGTATGTGGTAGCTTTCTGATTGGCTCCCACTTTCACAGGCTACTGTGACCCCCACGAATGATGGACCTGGACCAAACTTGGCACACACAATTGCCATGACCCACTTTATGTCCTGAACTTCCGCTGTTACAATTATTAGCTGTTTTTCATATTATAAAAAAGCCAAGCACAAGATTTTCACTACATTATGTCATCGGAATATAGTCAGCCCTCCATATTTGCAGGGATTAAGGGCACAAAATCCCTGTGAAAGTGAAAAGCTGTAAATTTAAAAAAAATGCTGTTTCCCCCCTTAAGAGAACTACTTTTTAGGAATCTTTGGATCAGTGGTTCTCAACCTGGGGTCCCCAGATGTTTTTGGCTTCCAACTCCCAGAAATCCTAACAGCTGGTAAAGTGGCTGGGATTTCTGATAATTGTAGGGCAAAAACATTTGGGGACCCCAGGTTGAGAACCACTGCTCTAGATTCTCCAACAGGACTCTATTCAGCACTGGCAGAAGTTGAGCATAGCATCACACTGGAGGATTCTGAGAGAAAACACTTTAACCAAATCTGTGAATAAACAAATCCACAAAGGTCAAAACCACAAATATGGAAGGCCAACTGTACTGTAAAATTACTACTAGTAGTAGAAGTAGTAGTTCTAGCAAATACAAAGATAAGAGGGCTTTTTGCTAATTGATAAAAGGTTTATACAAAGTGCCACGCAAACCCTTGTGTTGAAGGCCTACAGGCATTATCACAGCAGGCAGCAGCAGACCATTGGCTAATTTCCAGCAAAACACCTAGAATATGTTTGTATTCATGGAAGAAATGTAGAATTGGGTGGATAGTGATCGGATTGCAAGACTGTTCTTAATTTAGATTACTTAACAAGATAGTTATGCCTTAATTATTCAAAGGCTGTGAGCATGCGCTCCTGTTTGACATTTTCAAAGCAAAGAAAGATCTGTAGTGGGGGAAAAAACCATGCAAAACTCAAATTACTATTTCCTTCATTCAAGGGAAGAAAGAAGTTCTAATGGAAATCAATGTTCTCAATGATCCTGTATTCTGAAATCAATGCTGTTGCTTAATTTTGCCTGTCTAATTACATCATTAATGGAAGGTGCCCCTCCCCCGCATTAAATGGTTACAAATTAATCACTCATAATCTAGTAATACTGCAAATAAACTTAATCTTTTCGCTAACCTAAACTAACACTAATGGCTCTCATGTAATCTTGTGACATTTGTTATGAATTCATGGCAACTTGATAATGAAATACTTTACAGAACATTCAATAATTAATGTCCTATAGTTACAACAACAGCATAACTATTTGTTTTTCTGTCCCTCAACTACTGCTTGTCAACTCTTTGCAGGTGTATTTGCCAAGACCTATTAAGCTCTTAGGAGCCATCATGGTGTAGTAGTTTGGATACTGGACTATGATTCCAGAGAACAAGTTTGAATCTCCACTTAGCCATTGATACCCACTGGGTGGCCTTGGGCAGGTCAACAGCCTAAGCGTCAGAGGAAGGCAAAGGCAAATTACCTCTGGAAAAATCTTGACAATCCTGTGCTATGTTCATTTTAGATTCATTGTAAGTCAGAAGTGACTTATTCAGTTCCAACATCCTGTAAAACACATGGGCAACTTGTAATCTCCCCAAAGTTGATGGACTGCAGTTCTCATCAAATCTCACCACGGATGGGGGTTTCTGCATGTTCCAACAAAAATGGAAGACTTCAGCTTGCCCACCACAACAGAAACCTTTATTTAAAATCTGAATAAGAAAATTTGGTCTTAGGTCTACTTCAGTCCAATCAAATCAGGAAGTTACAAGGGCTACTGCTGTCAAACAGAGTACGAATAAATGACAAATTGCTTTAAATCCAGGTCAGCACTTCAAGCCACAGCACATAGCTAGAGTTGACAACTCATCTCTTTAAGGAGAACCATCATCAGGTATTGTTTTTATAGTGTAATGAGTATGCATGGCAGTTTATAGAATACAAGAAGACAGACTGCTGCCCTACAAGACTTGCATTCCATGGGATGGGAGGAAGAAAGAATAGAAAAGGTGGACTAAAACAAAGGAAAACCATACAGGGGATCATCACAGAATGACCAGAACGATGTACTTTCTAGATGCACATAATGCTCTCCTACTGCAAGTAATCCTTGGTATGCTTCAGAGTGTGTGTAACAACAACAGCAACAACAGCAATAATGCTTTATTTCTAGACCGCCCTCTCTCCCCGAAAGGATTTAGGGTGCCAAGTAGCCAAGTCGAATCGCCTCCAACATTTACACCTTAATCCCCAGATGGATTGTATCTCTTTTATTTTGAACAAATTCAGTAAGAAAAAAAATATCTAAAGGAAAGTATATGAAAATGTTCAAAAAACAACCACTACTTATTCCCATGTATTTATTGCTACTTATTCCCATTTATATATTGTAATATTGCAATATCAATTCCACAACAGTTTTTTACGCTTTCTAATAAAATCTTGTACCCTTATCTCAGAACAGAAACTATACAGAAGTACACTGTGTTAAAAAAAGTATTTACCTGGTAATTTCAATTTAGTCTTCGTTTATATATCCCAATGTTATAAACTGAGACACCAAAAAGTAATTTATGTTAAGCAAATTACACTATGTAACACAATTTTTGTTCCTGGGTTACAAATGTCATTTTCTAATTGATTCTATTATAAAAACATGTAAAAAGTTTATTAAACTGTGAAAACATTTTTTTTTTTTTTGGGCGGGATATCCAGCAACACATTTTGCTCTAGTTTTTCAATAAATATCTTGAGTCTCAACCAATTCAACATAGCTTACGGTAACCACAAAAAGGAAGTTTCTGGAGTGTAACAATTACTTTCAAAGGAAGTACTGCACAATTAAGCAGGAAATAAGACCTTTAGACCAGGAACAGGATTTTTTTCAAATTTATCTATGGTTTTCCAACCTCTCAATTGAAAGACCCACCTTACCTAAACTTAAAACAGACATTTGTTTAAAAAAATTAGGAGATAAATTTAAAGCTAAGCTAGGCACTGTCGAATAATATACTTAATGTTATTATTAATGTGTAGCAGATCTGCATGTTATTGTTACTTTCTTACACAACTGATCTGATTGCCTAGATCTACTGTGCACACTTCAACAAATGCCCATATAATTGAAAAAAGAGAAAACATAACGCTGCAAAAGCTCACACAGATTTTATTATCCAAGGAAAATGCTATTTCTTTCTTATGCCTTTAATTAATTCATTCTATATAAACATATCTAAAAGTTGCATTTTATATAAAAAATAACATTAAAAATGAAGTTCCCTTTTGTCAATGTTTCCAGCACCAACACTGAGAAACTGAATTAATTTCATGTTAAACTAATCTTTACACATTTTAAAAATTAAAGAATACATTACAGAGCAGAAGGTCTCTAAAGAGAAAACTAAAATAAGGTAATCCATTAAAACGGTAATGACTGGAAGCAAAACTACTTAAGGGATTTCTGCCATAAGTCCAATTACTTGTGTTTCCTCAACAGGATTAAAATTCTTCCTGTTGCTTTATCATCATTTAAAGATTAGTTCTATTTTGATTTATTTTAAACCCAATAAAAACTGTCATATTTTATGGGGCTCACAAACACATCTACTTGAATTTGCAAGCTAAGCTCTACCTAGCTAGCAATACCATTCCAGCTCACAAAGGTTTTTTTTTAAGTAACATTTCCACTGAAAAGTCATTTTGAATGTATGTCCTGACTGAAGTAAAAAAATATTTAGAACTGCTTTCCACCTCCAATCTTCTGAATAATGAAAATATATGGTCCAATGAAAGAACATACATAGAATAGCATACCTTATATAATTTTAGTATATCTTGTTGTGTACCTTCAAGACATTTCCAACCTCAGCACCCCTAAAAGCAAGCCTCTTACAGTGTATGACCTGCCCAAAATCATTCACTGGTTTTCTAAGGCTGAACATAGATCCAGAGTTGTAGCGCAATGGTTAAAAAACTAGATCATGCTAGTTCCCATCCAGTTTATTACACAACAAATAAAACAGGGAGGCCTGGGCAACATATACCCAAAAACAGGCCACAATTTGTGCCCCCCAGGTGTTTTGTATTTCAGCTCCAAGAATTCCTGACAGTTGGACAAGCTAGCTAGGGCTTCTGGGAGTTGGAGGCCCAAACACCTGTAAGGCCACAGGTTGTGCAGGTTACCCGAAAGGCATCTAATCCTTTCTGATCTTAGGCACCAAGAAGGATCAGCTTTGGTTAGATGGGAAGACATTAACTGCTATAGGCTATATTTCAGAAGGAGAAACTGCCAAAATCACCTGAGCATTCCTTGCCTAAGAAAACCCTATGGAAAATTCAGGAGGCTGTCATAAGTCAACAGGCAACTTGAAAGCACATACAAAATAAAATCTTCTTTTTCTTCTTATTGTCTTACAAACTCTCTTTGTGATAAGATTACATATTCAGTTACTGTATAATCAGGCATGGTTTATTTTCCCTGAAAGCAAGAATAATCCCAG